ATAAATTTGTCAGCTTTTTTTTTAGAATTTGGATATGTTTTTATTATTCCAAACCGTGGTACAATAAACATTTAATTGTATATCTCCTTCAGCTTATATAGTATTTTTTTTCAAGAGAAAACTATAGAAGTGAATTTCTGTTCTTAATCATTAGCGTTTGCATTTTGAAAGTTAATGGATACAGTTGCCATCCATTCACAATCCTAATGACAGTATAGAAGAAAGTCCATTCCCACAGAATCTTCTAAAGTGTTGATATAAAAAAAACTATTGTATTTGCTAATTCAGAAGAATCATTTCACTGCACTTTGAATTTGCATTTTTCTGATTATTAATGAGTTTGAATACACATTTTATGTTTGTTGACTATTACTAAATTCTGTTCTATAAATATTCTATACACTTTGTCCAATTTTCTGTTGGGTTTTTGTTCATCTTTTTATTGATGTGTTGGAAATTTCACATCAAGAAGACCCAATGTCTACCGTGTGTGTTGCAAATTCTTTTCCTGAGCTTTACATATTTCCTTCAATTTTATTCCTATGCAAAGAAAGTTTTAATTTTTATCAAATATGTTTTTCCTTTATGTCTTTTGCACTTTGTCTTGCTTAGAAAGATCTCTTTTTTAAAAGGTTGTTTTTAACAGGTTTATTGAGATATAATTTAAACACCATTAAATTTAATCATTATACTTACAAAATTCAATGGCTTTAGTAAATGTACAGATGTGTGCAGCTATTACCATGTAAGGAGGAACATTTTCTCCCTTCTTCCCTTCTAGGTTCTTTGACTGGCCTAATAATTAAATTGACATAAGACAGAGTAACAAGAGGGAAAACAAATTTCACATCATATGTAGAGGAGTTCCACAAGGACATGAGGGCTCCCTGACAGTCAGGCAGTTGGGGTGGACACGCCATCCTGAGAAGGTGGGAGGGGTCTGGGGCTTCAACAGGAAGGCAGACAATCCCAGGAAGATGAGAAGAGCAAACGTTTGCCCTGCCATGCTGATGAGTCTTTCTGATATAAAAAGTTATCTCTTTTAATAACTCTCTTCCTGGTATAAACACCCTACATAACTTCTTTTTGACAGTTAAGTTAGAGGTAAAAAGCTCTTCTTGAGTCTGCTGAGCCCTGATTGTCTTCAGCTCCAAATAATCCATGCGCCAAAGTGGCACAACTGGGATGGCTGCCGTGAACCCAATCAACCCAACCCAGTTTTAGAACATTTCCACCGGCCCCAAAAGTTCCCTGTTTATAGCTAATCCCATTCCCATCCCTAGTCCTAGGCACCCACTGATGTGCTGTCTACAAATTTGCTTTTTCTAGATATTTTATGTAAATGGAACCTTATGGATACCTTTTGTATCTGGATTTTCACTTAGTATAATATTTTTGAAGTTTATCTGTTTTGTAGCAGGTCTCATCACTTCCTTTGTGTGTTTCACTTGTTCCATTTTGTTGTTGAACAGTATTTCATTATATGTATGTAGCACATTTTGTTTATCTGTTCTATACCTGACCGAGGTTTGGACGGTTTCATGTTTTTCACATTATGACTAATGCTGCATGAACATTTGCACACATATATTTGTGAGAACATGTTTTTGTTTTCCTCTTGGGTAGATTCCAAGGAGACAAATTGCTGGGTAATATGGAAAATGTATGTTTAACCTTTTAGGAAACTGCTCAAGTGTTTTCCAAAGTGGTTGTAACATTATACACTTTCATAAGCAATGCATCAGTGTGCAAAGGCTTTTCATCTTCAAACATAATCTTACAATGATGATAGTAATGGAAATAATAATAACCCCCATTTTATTAATTTTTACTTTTTTATGTTTCAATTTTATTCACCAGGGATCCATTTTGTTGAAAGGAATGAATGTGGGATACACCTTACCAACAACTTAAAAGTCTCTATCTCAAACTAAACCCCAACTGTTCAGGGATCTATTTCTGGATTTTGTTTACTGGTGTATTTAACTAATAATTAATCAATGCTAAAACAACAAAAAAAGCGTTTATTAAAATAGGTGTATAATAGGTTTTAGCATCTAAAAAAGTTAGCAGTCATTCCCTATTATGTGTTTTCTTTTTTTCCTAAAAATATTCCCTGGAAAATGCACTCTTCCTCATAAAATTAGGTATCAGTATATTATGTTCTAAAAAGAAATAAACCTTTACATTGCTTGTTTTTTTCTTCTTTTGGGTGCCTTTTTTGTGATTGGATTTATGACTGGCATTTAATGTTCAATGTTACAAAGAACAACCCTTAAAACCTTGAATTGATGCTGATTATAAGGAATCGATCATCCTTCATGAGGAAATAATTAAAATTGCAATCTAATAGTGCCAGAAACTATAGTTTCAGCACCCTGAAATTATTCCCCCATCCCATCTACCATTTTTTTTCTTTCTAAAAAATATCCTTTTACTCCTTTTCTTTCCATGTGTTTCAGGGGAGGCAGTGTCACTCCACAAAGGGTGAATCATGGTTTGACTGTGTCCCAGGGCCTCCTAATATGTGGGGAAGTGTGTTTACCGGGAGGACTCTGGTAAAGTTTAGTTGCTCCTTATAAAAGCACATGAGAAGAAATAACTCTCTTTTCCTGCCTTTGGGAGTTGTGAGAGAATCTGAATCCTAAAGCTGCTAAAGGCATCCTACTGCCATCTCGGGAATGCTGACATGTGAAGTATAAGAAGATGAAACACAAACCCCCAGGATTGCTGGTGAGGCCACTGGCCTGATGAATTGACCAACTCTGGAGATGCCCAATTTTGGGTCTATCTGCTATGTAAGGTGATAAGTTACAGACATATAAAGCAAATTTGGTTGGCTTTTCTGATACTAGTAGCAGAAAGCACCTTTATTGAAATACTCGTGCCATGCACTTTAATTCTACCTGATAATTTCATATTACAGTTCCTAAATAAGATGAGACAACTCATTTCTTCATCTCAAAGAACAGAGCAAGAGTGATGTTGCCGCCCTGGGATCAAGAGAACTTTTCCCAGCTGTACGCACACTGCAGACATTACCGCTGGCTTACCAAATTCCTCCAGGATGATAACATTTCCCACAAATAATACAGAATATAATTAAAATATGCATAAAATGAGCTTCAAATTTGCTTGAAAATAATACTTGTCTCTAACAGTGGAGAAATTGTATTCAAATGACTATTACTTTGAAATTAAATTCTGAACCAATTATCTCTCTTTAGGTTTGATTTACATTTGAAACTGAAATCAGATGAAAGACAATATCAGAACCCATCATCTTCTTAACTAATTTAGTTGCCTTCCTATGAAACTTATCCAACTCCTTTATATTATTAAAGCTTATGGAATTTAGAACTATATGCTGATTAACAATGATAGTTCCATAATGTTTTATGCAAGGGTCAAGAAAAGTTTTGGTTTACCTTTCTACTTTTTTTCCCATCATATACTTTTTGCCAAGTTTGTTTCAATTGTTATATTCAGTTTCTATGGATTCCCTTTTCAAACTTTTATTTATTTATTTTTAAAGATTTTTATTGGGGAATTGGGGGATGGGAATAGTGCTG